AAACTTCATCTTAAAAGTAGAGGTGGATAGAAACTGGAAGCTAAGGAACTTTAGGAACTGCAAGTAAATCTGCAGTCTGAACATACATTACATTTTTTCCAACTCTTTGTTTTTAAAACAAATACACTTTAAATATTTTTTAAAAAAATAAACACAATTTAATCCATTGGTCCACTGCCTTCAGTCATCCTCTACCTAACTTTTAAACTTATTTTTGTACTGCTCCGGTGTTCTTCTACATCTAAAAATATTCTAGACTCAGGGTTGGAAGAGTAATGTATGTCCTCCTGCTCCTTACTGTCCTCTTTTCTTTTATACTCTCCTCCTCCTGGGAAAGACACAATTAGTGTTGACACTGTAGGGTAAGAATGAGGTCCCAAAATCACTGGAATTGTTCCAGGTAGGGGTTGAACTCAAAACACTTGAGTGTTGTGTTCATTGTGTAGACTAGCTCACCTGTTGTACAGGTACATATTTTCTTTTCTGACTGTGAGTGGATTCTGTTTTGCTAGAATAATCAATATAAATAATTAGGGCTGTCAAATGATTAAAATTTTTAATCTATGCCCATGCAGCAATAAAATTAATCAGAGCTAACTCGATTAATTTCACAGCCCTATAAATAATTAATGYGCTATTTCTGCTGTTTATTGGTGTTTGATCTAAGACAGAACAATACTTCATGTGTTCATGTAATCTGAACTTATACAAATTAAATAGTATTTTATTATTATTTGCTTTTCAAATATTTCATGTGAAATCTTWGAGCAAAGCAGATGATGCAACTCTCAACGCAGATGTCGGATAATTAAATGTAAATTATTGTGGCCCCTGCATGCGAAGCAGAGGTCATGTTGTTTTCATACTGTTTATTTATTTGTTAATTTTTTCAGAGATTTTTGGTCTCTCTCTCTCACACACACACACAGGACTGAACTGTACTGTATTGCAACAGGAAGTAGGAGGTCAATTTGTCTGTTTTGATATGACTGAATGTCAGGATCGCCACACATCTTGCATTTGAACAAAACTTGTTCACAGATTTCGCTTTTGCATTTTTCTACTATCAACTTTGTTTACTGTTCAACAGCACCATTTCTAGATGCCTGCAGGCTGCCGGAGACTCCTTTGACTCAGCTTTCGGAACGTGCCATCCCATCACATCCATCCATATAATGTTAGTGATCGTATCACACTAGCAGGAGGCTGTAGGATGATGGGATTCAACAGGCAGTCTATTTAGTCTTACTCATTGAGAACATCAAATGTGAAAAACACTTAAATTATTGGGAAAAATCCATATAGCTCATAATAAACATGTCCATCTATACAACCATTTTATTTATTACCTGTGTTTTTCTTTCCAGGTTGTGGAGTTTGCTGCTGTCTATCTCTATGTGAGAGGTATTTCTGATTTGGGCTGTTGCTAGTGTCTCCATGTTTMTYGATCATATCAACTCACTGTTGTTCCATTTCTGAGTGGAAACAGCTCTGCAAAAAGACAAATTTCTTTTCAGATTTGCATTGTTTTTATTCTGAGGGCAGTGCAGTGGTACAGCTAATACCTCTCAACTAAAAGGTTGCAGAATCAAGTTCAGGCCTGTGACCTTTCTGGGTAGAGTGTGTTATCCGTATAAGCATCCTTTACT